TGGAGCATGATGCTCACTGTGGAACGATCCCACAGTATGCAAAGAGATTTAAACTTACTTATTAGCTTAGCTAGGTTGTTCCAGATTTTGAGGATGTGCGTACGCAGTGCTTTGAACTTGTTGAAAAAGAATTTGGATCCTCTCCATTAACGGGAGAGTTCCATTATGAGAGAGATAGAGAGGAGAAAATGAAGGGTGGGGTATGTTGGTGAATAGGATAGAGAAAAAGGTAGAGATAGATAGGAAGTAAAAAGGAAATGGAGGGAAAATGGAGAGAAAGAAATGGAGAGGAGCTGCATATAAGCGTGCAATTAGAAAACCCAATTCAGACCCGCACGAGTAGCTCAGTTGGTCGAGTGGTGGGAAAATTGGACCAAATGACCAAGGTTCAAAACCCGCAGCGGCCGTGTGGAGGTTACAGAACCTGAAATAAGTCTAGACCTCTTGTGCGCACGTGTATAAGGTCTACCGCCGCTTTTTGAATGAGTCACCATGATTAACCTCCTCACCATCCTGTCGGGTCGGGGTGGGGGGTTCCTGGGGTGGGAGATTCCACCTTTTGGACCAAGAAAACCTAATTCAGTAGAGAGTAGGCAACATGCATGGGTAGATGGAAAGGATGCTATATTGATGCATGCATGCCTAGCTAGAAGCTAGTGACGTGCCACCACGCACAGAGCAAGGGGGGCCGGGGCATGCATCCATTTTGTGAAAATTCTCTCATCTAGTCTTAAAAAAATATGCCAAATGTCTAAAAACTACTCCGTAGTTAATAGCTAGGTTTTCTAATATGGATAATAAGAATTATTGTAATCACTAGATATTAAGCTACCAAAGAAGTTAAGCCTCCAATGCAAAACAACTCACGACCAAAGCGTGTAATGTTCGATCTCATGGCCATTATACTACCTCCGTCCCGAAAAGGTTTGCCATATTGACTGATAAACTTTGGACAATGATTTGAATGATTATATTTGTATATAATTTATAAATTTTAAACTTTTATGAGAAGAAGTTTCAGATGTTATTTGCACGAGGACCACAAGACATGCCGGGCATTGACCCGGAAATAATATGCCATAAACTGGCCGTTCGGCCTGACGCCAAGCCGGTTCAATAGAAAAAAGACATCAGGCGGCTGAACGGCGTGATTTTACCAAACAGGAGGTTGCCACCTTGTTTAGAATCAGACACATCTGACCGGTAATCCATGTCGAATGGTTGTCGAACGTGGTGCTCGCGCCAAAGGGATCCACATGGAGGATATGTGTGGATGATTCTGATCTAAATAAAGCCTGCCCGATGGATCCTTATCCAGTACCTCAGATTGATCTTTTATTTGATAGATGAGACAGCTGGGTGTGAGCTCTTAAGTTTCATGGATGCCTTTCGGGGGTATCATCAAGTTTTCATGCACCAAGACGATGCGGAGAAAAAGGCATGCGTCACCTCGGATGGCGTATTTTGCTATATTGTGATGCCGTTCGGGTTGAAGAATGCCATGGCTACCTTCCAAAGGATGATCGGGATACTCTTCAAAGAAGTATTGGGGGTGACAATGGAGGTTTATGTAGATGACATTCTGATCAAGAGACGAAAGAAGGAGGATCATGTCCCGGACATGGAAAAGGTGTTCGAGATCATGCAAAAGGCAAATATGAGGTTGAACCCCAAGAAATGTGCCTTTGCAGTTATGGGAGGCAAGTTCTTGGGATACATGATGAGCGAGAGGGGTATTGAACCTAACCCGGAGAAGGTGAAGGCGATCATGGATATGGAAGCCCCGAGGAACCTCAAGGAGGTTCAGAGATTGACCGATCGATTGGCAGCCTTGAGCAGATTTTTGTCCAAACTTGCCGACCGGGCAATCCCATTTTTTCAGATTATGAAAAAGGCAAACCCCTTCGAATGGACCGAAGAATACCAAGCGGCCTTCGAGGATTTCAAGACATATTTGTCCTCTCCCCTGGTCTTGACCAAAGCTGATCCAGGGGAACACTTGTACATGTACCCTGCCGTAGCCGATCTGGCTGTAAGTTCAGTATTACTGAAAGAGGAAAATGGCATCTAACGGCCGATTTACTTCGTAAGCAAAGCCCTGAATGGGCCGGAAACTAGATATACCCTGATGGAGAAAACATTGTTGGCCCTGATAGCAGCCATCAAACGACTTGCATCATATTTTCAGGCTCATCCAGTGACCGTGTATACAACTCAGCCGCTCGCTACCATTTTGAGGAACCCAATGGCCAGCGGGCGCATAACAAAATGGAGTCTCCTGATTGGGCAATACGAGATGGATTTCAAGCCTCGACCTACCATCAAAGGCCAGGTCTTAGCGGATTTCATAGCAGAATGCACCGCTCGATCTTCCGAAAATGAGTCAAACAACAGTGGGCTGGATAACTGGTGGGAGATGTACATAGATGGTGCATCAAGTGCAAAGGGTTGTGGTGGCGGAGCCGTGATCACATCACCCGAAGGGTTTAACGCATACTACTCCATTCATTTTGATTTTAAAGTAACCAAAAATGAGGCCGAATATGAGGCCCTTATTGCAGGTTTAAAATATGCTAGAGCCCTGGGTGCCGATCGACTGAAGGTCCGATCAGACAGTCAGCTGGTGGTCAATCAGGTAAACGGTACAGCTGAAACAAAATAAGAAAGAATGAAAGCATACAAGGAACTGGTCGAGGAGCAAATTAATAAGTTTGAACATGTGATGCTCGATCAGGTCTCCAGAATAGAAAATGCTGAGGCAGATATCTTATCCAAGTTGGAAAATGCAGACTTTGATGACCGGGCGCAGATGATCCTAGCCCACATCCAGTGGTTTATCCATCGGGAAACCTTGACGACAACAGCAACCATGATCTTCCAGGTGGAAGCTATTTCTTATGCCGTTCCCAGTTGGGTCACGGATATGACTACTTATCTGAAAGACGGAACTCTCCCAGAAGACCAAAATTCGGCGTATAATATCCCTTGCATTCAGAGGAGGGCTTCCATGTTCGAGCTAGTGGATGGGCAGTTGTACAAAAAGACATTCAGAGGACCTTATCTAAAGTGCCTTCCGCCCAATCTAGCAGCTGCAGTAATGGAAGAAATTCACGAGCGTATCTGTTCAAGCCATCAGGGGCCCAAACACTGGCAAGGAAAATCATCTTGCAGGGGTACTATTGGCCGACCATCCAACATGATTGTTTTACACATACCAGAAAATGCAAGGTTTGCCAACTATATGCACCGGTTCCCGAATGGTCAGCTACTTTCTACACTCCAATGACCATTGCCCTTCCATTTGCTAGGTGGGGAATTGACTTGCTAGGGCCCTACCTACTTCCCTCGGAGGACGAAAGTATATCATCGTTGGGATTGATTATTTCACCAAATGGGTGGAGGCCGAACCACTGGCTAGCATCACATATTTCCAGTGCCAAAAGTTCGTCTGGCAGAACATTATTTTCCAGTTTGGCCTCCCCGAGCAGACCGTCACAGATAACGGAAGGCAATTCGTGAGCAAGAATTTTGAGGATTACTTGGTCAAATGGGGGGATCAAACATTCCAGAGCATCTGTGGCATACCCCCAGGCAAATGGCCAAGTAGAAAATATGAACCGAACCATCATGGATGGTATGAAGAAAAAGCTAGAAGAATGTTCCTCGTCATGGCCAGATCAACTGAATTACATCCTATGGACATATAGGACTACACCCCGAATGGCCACAGGAGAAACACCGTTTTCCCTCGCTTAAGATTTCCAGGCCAAGGTTCCAACAGAGGTCCTAGTTCCCACACACCGAACGGTGCATTATAATGCATAACAGAATGAGGATAATCTACGGGCCGAAATGCACTTCATAGAGGAAAGAAGGGATCTAGCGGCAAGACGGATGGAGGAATATCAAAGGGCTACAAGGAGATATTTTGACAAGCAAGTCAAAATCCGATCAATCCAAGTAGGAGATTTGGTCCTGAGGAAGCGAGAAAAGAGCAAGCCTCTCGAAGGTGGGAAAATGGCCCAAAACTGGGAAGGCCCTTATCAGGTCTTCAAGAAATATGCTTCAGGAACGTTCGGCCTACAATCTACCGAGGGCCGACCGGAAGGTTCATGGAATGTTGAACACTTGAGGAAATTCTACCAATAAAAATGGTTGTTGCCACCTCTAAAAAAAGAGGGAGACTTAACTTCCTAAGAGTCTCACCTCAGCTTTTAACATGCAAAATCATTCTGGACGTCCGAATGAGAAACATGTTAACAGTTTGGAGGGAGCCATCATCTTAGCCAAGTTTTGACCTTGCCATGGCCGAGTAAAGGGTCCAAAACGGTTTGAAGGTGATGTCAAGACCATAAGTATGGACGAACCGAGCGGCATTCGGTAATACGGATGACTCGTCCGGGGGATCGGAACTGTGGTCTTTAAATCTCATCTCAGTTATTAGCTTCGACGAACCACGAAGACATGGGATCGGAGGGTGGAATCCAAGCTAATAATTTGGCGGTGAGTCTCCATTTTAGCTACAGGCAGGAAATGACTCGAACGGGGGGATCCTACTTATAGTTTGAAGGTGGACATCTCAAACCCTTAGTATGGATGATCTGGATCGGAGAAAACCAAACGGACTGACATCAGAACTATGGGTTTGAAAGATGAAAAGGGCAAATAAAACAATATGATCGGGAAGATAATCTGGAAGTAGATCTTTATTCTTCGGCACTACCGGCCGGGACATACAAAGAATGAAAAAAGGGAAAAAGATAAAGGGAAAAAGAAAAAGGTTATGCTATCTATGGATCCCTGGCCGGGGAAGGAACGTCATTCCCTGCTTTTTTCCTTTTCTCCATAACCTGATCATAGGTGTTGCCAAACAGATCATCAAAACCTAACTCGTCAGGGTCGAACGGCTTTGGGAAATGCTCCATGATCAGATCGAGGTTTCTATCAACCAACAGATCTTGACTCTTTGTGACCGTTTCCTTGGTCAGAGCATCTATGAAAGCTTTCCCTTCTGGCGTGCTATCCAGAAGCTCGATTCCCGCCTTGATAGGGTCCTCACTGTCACACAGGAACTGGCCGAGATGAGGCCCCAAGAACTGCCGAGTGGTTTCTTCCAGGGCGACATTCAGTCCTTTCCCTCGTTGAAAATCAATCACCGCTTGATTTGTGATCTTGGAAATATTGGCAGTATAAGGATCGGGGGATTTTCTCCCTCGGCCTTATCGAACCTAATCTCGTCAGATTCTGCCACCTTCACCTTTGCCTTAAGGTACTTGATCGCCCATCGCGACGACGGATCCTGCCCTCCATCTCCGCCAGCTCGGCTGATGCGTGGTCACCCTTGTTGGCACGATCTTGTAAATCCACGGCCAGCTTACGAGCAGCATCTAGAAGGGTCTGGCTATCATCCTGATCGCTTTCCAGAAGCTTCATCTCCTGTTCGGCCGCCAGAAAAGCCCGGTGGCAATATATGTCGGCCTGAAAGAACGGTAGACATGATCAGATGAGATCTAAGGAAGTTCAAAAGATGCAAATAAATTTAGAAAGGATCCATACCTTAAGGGCCTCAAGGTGACCTGCCTCGACCAGGTCATACCAATGAGTCAGGTTGGAGAAACTGGGGGCGAACCTTCAACGAGGTGTTGCACCACATGGAGGGGGGCATTTGTCCGAACAGATACCTCCCCTCGGAACGAGGCCCCATGTTGGAGAACTCCACTAACATCCGGTCATCGACCGACATGTTAACAAGGTCTGAATTCACAGGCTTGACGAGCGGGGTAGCAGGTTTCTTAACTTCAGTTTCTGGACCGGTCAAATCAACAATATGATCGACCGGGATGAGCTGGGAGCCGTCATCTCCCCGTCGCCTCATCCGGGCCTGTTTGGTGTCATCCCAGGCTTTAACAGTCAGTTTTTCCTTTCCCTTCCCAGTAAGGACTGAAAGGGTGGGGAAAGATAGAGGACGGTTGGCTTCAACAGAAGGAATCATGTCTGCAAAAGAGGGAAAACACAACTAAGGAATCAAATTAAACAAAGAGCGAACGAGAAAAGAGTAAAGGAGCAAACTTTCCGATTCCAGAGGCCAACATCTTAGAGGGGGTAACATAGGACCGAAGGTTCCGAGAACCCCCCGAACGGAGTGACTTAGATTGGGAGAGGAGAATGGCATCCAGAACAGGTTCAGTATCCTTAACCGGGTAGGCATTCCACCGATCGAGGAACGGAAGTCGTTCCCCCACACGAACAAAAAGAAATCATTCATCCCAGTCGGCTGCCGTATGATGATTGTCCATGAATAACTGATGTTCAGACCGAGCCACCAACTTCAAGTACCTAGTGGTCCAGTATGGCTGGCAGCAGTAATGATACAAAAACAGGTCAACATTGGGAGCAATCCCGAAATCATGACACCGAATAATAAAACCGTTCAGAATATGATAGGTGCTAGGCACAAGTTGAGCTGGAAGCATAGAGAGCCGGCGCAGGAAATCCACTACAAATGGATGAAGGGGGAAATGAAGCCCAGCGGCCAAAGCATCAAGATGCACTAGCACGTGCCCCGGGCGGTGCCTCATTGGGTGCTTAATAAACCCCGCATAAAACTCCCTAGGGGGAGGCAAAAATTGGCGAATCTTCCGTTCGGCGTCCTCAGGAAGGCATTGCCTTTGTTTTCAAATACGGTTGAAGTGAAAAGGGATGCGAGGTGGCCGTTCGGGCATTCCCTTCTGATAGATGGCTAGATCATCACCCGAAACACACCCATCATCTGGGAGAGGTTGTTCGGGTTGGTGCGAGTCAGATGCTTGGGATGAGGAACCCCCGCCTTATCAGCAACATAATTCTTCCCTCTGGGACGACGAATGAGCGGCATATCTTCAGAGTCTGAGCCGGAGGAAAGTGACATAAAAGGGCACGATACCTCAAGAGAGCCAAAATATTCTTGAGAGAGAAAGCTTAAAGAGAAATAAGAAAGGATTGAAGAAACAGCAGAAAAAGGAGAAGAAATCACCTCTCTTCTTGTAGAAGAAACTGTCGCCCAAAACCCGGAATCCATGAGGGACACGTGGCAGGAGGTGGTTGCGAGCAATTATGCCGCATTTATGATTACACTAGCACGTGCCCCGAACGACGTACAGATCAATGGTGGAAAGGAACATCCCGAACCAAGGTTAATACAAACCAGAAGGATTATAAAATCACCCGAACGGGAAGAAGGTTAATGCAATCCCCCCGAGATACTGGACAGTCCATTTTACAGAACAAAAAAGAAAAGAGGGAGACTTATTTTCTAGAAAGTCTCACCTCAGCTATGAGGAACGTGTTAACAGTTGGAGGGATCCATCATCTTAGCTGAGTTTGGGCCTTGCCATAGGCAGAAAATGTTAAAATCTATGATATGATGTTAAAATCTATAAGTATGAACGGAACGAATCCCGAACAAGAGGATATGATCCATGTTATTGAGGTGGATGTGTCCATTTTAGCTATAGGCAGGAAATAACCCGAACAGGAAACCCTACCTATAGTTTAAAATGAACACATCAAACCGTTAGTATAAATAATCCGGATCGGAGAAAACCGGACGGATTAAGCATCAGAAACGGCAGTGGACAAAAAGATAAGTTTACATTCAAAGTTTATAAGTTCGAGCAAAAAAAAAAGGTAGAAAAGGAGAGATAACACATGGGCAAAAAAGTTTTCAATTATATTCATCGGCTATGCTAGCCGGGAATTACAGTGGTCTTACATTCTAGACAAAAAAGGACACTACGAGATAGTTAAAATAAAAGGATTTATCTACTGGCCAGGGGCTTCCTCTCCACCGTCTTCATCTTCATCCTCATCATCGTCCAGATCGGAAGGGGGTTCAGGCTCCTTGCCAGCTATACGATCGGCCTCCCGTTGTACATCCCGTTCATACTTCTCAAATTGGGACTGAATGATGGCGACCGAGGGGAGATCGGAAGGCCCTATCAGCCTCCCAAGTTGCTGCTGTAATTGAACCAAGAAGGGCTGCAGGATGTGCTGGCAACCCTTGACATAAAGATTTGCAGCCAAGGAATCATCCAACGTTTACCCCTAGGATCCTTATCCAGAAAGGCCACCCCTACCTTACGTCGCTCATCATCCTGAGGGAACTTTTCAATATGAGCCCCAAATATGGTTGGGAGTTGTTGCAGGATGTATTCCTCTTTGATGGTGGTAAATTCATCAGAGGATATAAATGAATCCCGAACGGCGGATAGATCCACATTTACTTCCGAAGGACCGTCCGGGATAGGGGGGGGGGCATCTCTACAAATGTCACCCGAGCAGCTTCAGCAGCCGCTACCTTAGCCGTTTGGCCTCAGAAGCCTGAAGGATTGTGGCGGCTTCTTGTTCAGCCTTGGTCCGGGCCACGATAAGTTCTCGTTCCTTGACCAGACGAGATTCCCGTAGCTGCAGGCTATATAACCCATTCTGCAAGATTCTCGTTAGGGATTAGAAGATAAGATTTGACGCAATATTGTGTGTAATGTAAAAATAGAACATGAGGTACCTTCAGGGCTGTTAAGGCAACACACTCCTCTGCCCGATAGACAAGAAGGTTGGGAAGCCGAAAATTGTTGAAATAAGCAGAAGTGGACTAGACTTGGCTTGCAGAAGAACCAGCTTTTTCCAAAATCTCATGTACGGGATCCTCCAAAGTGATCCGTTCTATTTGTCCTACAAGGTTAGCATCGTTGACCTGACCAACCTCCAGGGTCACTACCGGAGCAACCTGAAAATGCTCAGAGAAATAGTTCAAGTGTTCAGGCCCGAACGGATTGTCTATCATCATATCCTCTGTCTCCTGATGATGAGGAACCTGTTGAATGGGGTGAGGCTCTTGAACGGGTGGAGAAGGCTCCTGAAAGGGCAGAGAAGGCTCCTGAAGGGGTGGAGAAGGCTCGGTGCCTTGTGGAACACTGGTTGAAGGCTTGGGTTGAGGATTCTTCTTGGCTTTTTTCCTCTTTCTCACTCCACCAGCGGCGAGTACCCGACTGTCGTCCATGCGAGTATCTGGATTGGGTGCTGAAAAATAACAAAGGAAAAAGTTAGTATCGAGCGGTCTTATCACGTGGGAAACAAAGAGGAATGGAACGTTTCTCGCACGGGAAGGACTGCCCGGCCCATGGCACTTGGTTTCCAGTCAAGTAGACCCAGGAATACGGGCAGTACCTATCCCAGCCTTGACAAGCCGATTGGGGGTCAGGTACTTCATGATGTTGCTCTTCTTGTCCCGTTCCACCACAAAGACATCTTTGCTAATTTCCTCGGTAAGCAATGGTTCTGGGGTTTTGCGGGGGAAAGCATTCCATTTCTTCGGGATCAGACCGTCCGGGATGGAAACAAAGAAAAACTGATCCTTCCACCCCTTAATGGAAGTCAGGTTATCGGTAAATAGTATGTGTCCCGTACGGGCATTGGCAGCCAAAAAACCATGTGTTTGTTGAGGGGCCACTTTAAAATATTGGTGGAATAACTCTAGGCGAGGCGTGACGTTGACATCCACGTAGCAGGAGATGAAGCCGGCCATCACTCGGTAGGAATTTGGCATGATTTGGGCCGGTACTTCCTCATAGAAGTTAAAAAAGGATACATAAAATGGGTGTAATAGAAACCTAAGCCCAACTTTCACCGAGTCTAAGTGGACTATCACCATCCCAAGAAGATGGCGCATTGGGTGAAGCCCAGCCCAAAGACGGAAGTCCACTGGGTCCGGGATTAGGGCTGGCATTTAGGCCCTATTGTGAGAGGTTAGTTTCTGCCGCCTCTCTTTTATCAAATTTAGGTCAAGCTTGTAGCGAGGGATATTGTCCGGGGGACCAGCCGCCATAGAAGCAATCTCGTCATCAGACTTTGTGTCATCAGATTCATTGTCGGAAGAAGGGGAGCCATCGGAACAATCCTCTACACCCGCACTAGCACTCACCATCATTTCATTGGCTACGTTAGCAAAGGGAACGGCTATGACATTCACAACGGCATCATCATGAACGTTCTCTTGGGAGGCCAATTCCGAAACAGGGGAGCGCGGTCGAGAAGACATAATGACCAAAACTGAGAATAGGAAGAACGAGGAAGGGGCGGGAAGTACCTGAACACGCGAAAAGCTTGGGAGTCCTAGAGAGAAGGCAGAGCTAAAGCACGAAGGAAATAAGAGATGGAAACCCATAACCAAGGAAGTCAAGGCCTATTTATAGCCTGACAGGCCCCGATTAACAAGCCAATCAGAATAAGACACGTCTCCAGAAGCGCGGAAGGGGGCGCGTGTCACCCCAGAAGGAAATGGACCAGCAATCATGACGGTTATGGAAAACTGAAACGACAGCAACAAAAGGGCCGTAGAATCAGGACATCGGGAACCTGCAAGATCCTATACACGAGTACCGAACGACATACGACCAAACCATTATGATTTAAATTATTGTACTTCCTTATGCCCTCACTATCGTTTGGGACATCAGAAGTGCGGGACTCGTGTTAGGATATTGGGCCTAAAGCCCAATATACCAGGCCCATTAGTCAGCAAGGATCCAAAGAAGAATAGGCCCAATGACTAGTTATACCGAATGGGGATCGGGTCATACAGGTAACTTGGGCTAGATAAATAATCATATCAGCATGGGCCTCGTTCTGAAGCCCGAACGGGTAGCCTGCAAGTGCCCAGAGGCATTTAATGCTAGGATATGGCGTCAGCAAGTGGGAGTATGGATACCCAAGTGGCTCGAGAACGGCAGCAAATCACATTCAGCCACATCATCACCCCCATCCCCTTTTATTAGTATAAATAGGGGCTCTAATCTCATGGTAAAGGGTTAGAATTTTGAGACTCAGAGCCTAAAATAGCTTTCTCACTCTTGTTATTGTATTATCACTATTACGACGTACCGTTCGGGAAGTTTTCTGTGTAATCAGTGAATTGCTTAATACAAGTGGGCTTTTGAGCATATTATTATTCACCTTTTATATTTTCTTAGACCCTCAACATATTTTCCATATCCTTAATATCCAAAGCGTGTGTTGGGCTTTCGGATCTGCGGGACTTAACCTCAACACTTTCGAACATCAACTTTCAAAATCCAGACTATCGAATAAGCAATGAAATCCGATTCATAAAAAATTTCATGGATCTATAATGGTTGTCTCTGATACCAATGATGGATACCCATATGCAATATATATATATATATATATATATATATATATATATATATATATATATATATATATATAAATATATATAAATATATATAATAGCTAAAATCCCTATAAATTCATGAAATCAAACATGTATGAATTGAAATTAGAACCGTACCTTGAGAGTTCATTTGCATTAGCAGTTTCAGAAGAATCAAGAATCCAACATGATTGATTGGCTACTAACCTTCCAATGCTATGTAGCTAATGAGATAAAACTTAATCCTATAATTGATGGGTATTTATAGGACTAATTTGCGAATAATAACGGTTAACCTTTCTAATTCCTTCATTATTGCTACAATAAATAAGTAGAATAATTTATTAGGCTGTTTTCCGTTACTATGTCGTTACAATTATCTCGTTATTTACATGCACCGGGAGTCATAACCGTTGTATCACTTTAGTGTAATATATTTAATTTGACCCGTCACCAAAAGAAATATATTATCTCAGTATCTACACTTTTATTATTTCATGAATAGCCACTGTATTGTTTATTATTTATCTGATGGTAACCACATTTTAATTAATTACATATTAGACCCCTTTTATTGTTTCCAACATTATATACTTCCTCCGTTCTTTTTTAATTGCAACGGTCCACTTTTCACGTTTGCCAACATACAAGTTTGATCATTAATATCTTTCATTACTTATTAGTAAAAAAGTTAAAACAAAAATATATTTTGAAAATTTAAATAAGAGGAATTTAACAATATTTTTTTTAAATTTATTTTGTACTACCTCCGACTCTTAAAACTTTGACAAAGTTGACCGGCACGGAGAATAATAAAGTAAAAACTGTGTGGTTAAGGTTTGTTCAGAGGAGAGAAATAACAGAAACCACAAAACAATTGATTAAAATGGAAAGTGACAAAGTTTTTGAGACGTTCCAAAAAGAAAAGATGACAAAATTTTAAGTGACGGAAGGAGTAATACATTAATAAATAAAATAGAATCAAAGTAGAACATCTGAACAATGAAAAAAGTTGAATGTTGCCTTTAAAAAAGAGAACCGGTATATATATATATATATATATATATATATATATATATATATATATATATATATATATATATATATATATATATATTCTTCGATCGATCTATCGATGAGTTGCTAAGCTAGCTTAGGTAGGCTCCACATTCAAGTTGAATAAGTAGCAGCGTTTAGGCGCCCCCGCGTCATCATCATCATCATCATCCGGCGCAGAATTTGGCGTCACATTGAGATCAAAAAGTGGAGCGGCAGATGAAGATGGAACAGAAGCAGCCGCCGCCGCCTTTCGGCGATCATCATCGTCAATAAGTCTAATAGCGCCGCCATTGTTATTATCATTAGTATTGTTATTATTATCGAAGCCGCCTTTAAGGGCGGGCGATAGGGATGATGAAAGTTGCTGCATCCGCGCATTCACTTTTCTACAACAATTGTCGATCCAGTCATAAGCAGCCCTGACGTGGTCGGAGTTAGAGGGGTCAAAAGGCGGCGGGCAGAAGAATGGCGATATGTCATCCGTCTCCAGAATCTGCTGCAGCAGCGGCTGAGCGGCGGCGGCGGGAGGCCCGTCCTCCTGCTCCTGGCGGCGCCGCGCACGGAAGTGGTCGATGATAGAGTGAAGACAAGTGGAGCCAAAGGCATGCATGAAGCCCTTGGAAGAGGTGAAAAAGATGGCTATGGTGGAGCCGGTTGAGGAGGAAAAGCGCGTGGCCTTGTCGAAGAGAGTTCGTTTTCTCTTGGAAAATGTCACCGCCCGAGAGTTCTCGCATTCGATCACTTTCATCTCTATTTTCTGCCGACCCTTGCTCCTCCCCCTCCACGCCGCCGCCGCCGCCTCCATCAATTATATATATATATATATATATATATATATATATATTCCGATCGATCCTTAATTAATTAGGGAGTAAATAATAATAATGATCGCCCGGCGCGGCCACCCCTTTTTATTTCTTTACTATATTTGCATAAATCGCTAGCTGATCGACACAGTACTCTGTACTCATCCCATCCTAATATAATATGGCTGCTAGCTACGTTGCCATTTATATACCCCGTACGAAAAACAATCCGCGACGTGGATGGTTGAAAAACTATCACCTAAATGATTCAAAACTATTAATTTAGAATCTAAGTTATCATACATTTTATTTTATTTTTTATTTTAAAAATTTTAAATATAATTTAGTTTTATTAAACTAATAAACTTTTGTGAAGAAAAGTTTATCAAAAATTAGTAATGAAATTAATTAAAAATTACATAAATGAAAACCTATGGAACATTATGTCCTAAATTGATAGTTTTTCATCATTCGGGTTCTATACCGATATGTTTCATCTTTCGGGTCCCGAATTGATAATTAATCTATCTTTCGGATCCTGAATTGATAAAATTCCATTTTTTATTCGTCACAACTCCGGTACCCATTTAAAAACTGGGATATAGTACCTACCACTCACTTAAGGGTACCAAGGTGACAACTCTGGTACTTGTTTAAGGGTACATTAAGGGTACCATAGAATCTACATTTTTTATTAGTCATATTTCACCTTTTATATCAAGGTGACAACTCTGGTACTCGTTTAAAAAATGAAATACCGTACCTATCATTCACTTGATTCGTCCACATCATTATATCATTTTTAATTTAGATTTAAAAAATATTTCAAATGAAACTTTCTCATTGATTCATTGGTCCATGTGGATAAATGTATGATACCTTATAGGTACATTGGGATAAACTTTCAATATTTATACACGGAAGTATTATTAATATAAAGAAAATACGACGTATGCAAATGCCTCTTTATTTAGTTCACATTCCACACAAATATATTAATTAAAATATTAGATCACATTTTACCATATTGACTGAAAAAGTTAAAATTGAATAACTAAACAAGGATTAATTGTCTTTCTGTTGTAAAATCAACAAAATGACAAGTGTGAATTGTTCATCCTTGTCATCAGGACACTAATCCTATTCAAGTCCTTGTAATAGACAGATGACTAGGTTTGATGTTGTCAACAAATTATGTAGAATCATTCTTTGATGATTTATCTCCCAGACAACTAGTATAAATAGGGTGATCAATCCTTTGTAAATTTAACTCAGAAATTCAGAAAATCTTTACATTAAGAAGAAGTAAAATATCCAGAGGTTATAATCTTTATATATATCCCATATCTATACTTCATCTTCTTCATTTTATAATACGTTATCAGCACGAATTTGCTCCTAAATCTTCAAGAAATCATCCTCCTGCAGGTATAAACATAATTATTTACTACTACATACGCATTACTTTTATTTTCATCAAATTTCTGAAAAGCAAAAAGAAAAATTATAATGAAAATTGAAAAAGTATACTATGTGATTGTCCAAAATTAGATTTATATTTATTAGACATAACTCACAAACGTACCTTTAAAAGTGTATCATTATCTGGTTGATGCTGTTGAAGAAATTTATAGTATATACTCTCTAATAAGTAGTACTCCGTATTAATTAGTAATACATACATAGTGAGTACGTAATAATACCGAGTGAGGAAGATGATAGCTGAAGTAAACAATGAATAAATTAAAAATAGATCTGTAAAACATGTTAGAAGTCTAAACTCGTAGATATATATATTACTCCGTAAGATAGACTAACAATAATAAACTCAAGTCACGGGTAGTCTGCACAAGTTTGCATGCATGCAGTTCACAGGTGTGTGTCTTCATAAACAAACAAAGAAAATTAAATAGCAATAGATAATACTAGCTAGTCACGAGAGAAGCATAGGGCAAGTCATAGATAAGGATAGCTGTGTAGTGGAAGGTTTCATACTTTATGAGCTTATTATTTTGTCCTTATCATGTTTTTTTTAATTTAAATATTAAGTTGTCGGTTTATTAGCACCAGAACAAAGTCCATTTTTTATGCAAGTTTAAAAGCATATACATTATTTAAATACAGAGTATATATATATTAACAGGAAACACAAAAAGTTAATCGACATAATACCTAGTATACAATACGGAGTAGAAGAGAATTTGACATACGGATTAAGGAGTATTACTTTATTTTAAATTTTCAATCTTGTAAATAAAGGAATATGTTTCATTAATATAGGCATGTACATGTGTTATGATATCACTAGTAATTCATGAGTCAAATATTATTTAATTTGCTTGATTCGGCCATGAAATTTTAAGAAGGAAAAATATACTTCAATATTGTTTTTGATATATATATATATATATATATATATATATATATATATATATATATATAGATAACAAATATTGTATATATAAACGAGTATATATATTTATTAATTTAACTTAATAATTTTGTAGTTATATAATGGCCAATATAAGCAAAAGAGAATTCGACGTTCTTGACCTATCCGATCAAAAATACCTGGAATGGAAAGTTGATGCTTTAGCACATTTGAAGGCTAATGGTCTTGAAGACACCATTGAGGCTGATAATCAATCATCCTCCTAGGACGAAGCGAAAGCTATTATTTTTCTCCGTCACCATCTCCATGAAAGTCTCAAATCTGAATATCTCTTGGTCGATGATCCAAAAGAATTATGGGACAATTTACAGGAGAGGTATGGCCACCAACAAAAGGTACTTTTACCAAAAGCTCAGTACGACTGGATCAATTTAAGATTCCAGGACTTTAAATCTATCAGTGACTATAATTCTGCTATGTTCCAAATAACATCCAAATTAAAGTTATGTGGACAAAAAGTCACTGATGCTGATATGCTGGAGAAAACCTTTTCTACTATGCATATCTCTAATATGCTACTACAACATCAATATAGAGAAAAGGGTTTTAAAAAATACTCCGACTTAATATCAGTATTATTAGTAGCTGAGCAAAATAATGACCTTTTGATGAAAAACCACAATTTGAGACCCACTGGTTCTCGTCCTTCGATTTATGGTCCATCTGGCCATAATTTAGCCACTGAATCAAATGCAACACACAGTGGCCCTCGAAGGCATTTTAAACTTGGGCATTATTGTGGTCATAATAACAAGTCTCACAGAGGATATAAACAGGTCGAAAGACCGAATTACAAGGGCAAGGGCAAACAAAAGGCTCATCAAATAAATCGCCCTACAAAAACCTCGGTAAAGACGACTTGTTATAAATGTGGCATGCCGGGGCATTGGACTAACAAATGTCGTAGTGCGAAACATCTGGTGGAGTTATTTCAATCTTCCATGAATTTGAACAAATGCAATAATATGGAAGCTAATTATGTCAATGACACAACTCCATCTCTGCCAAAATTTGACGTGTCTGATTTTTTCACGGATGATGCCATTATGGATGATGCTTTTGCCTTAAACCAAAATGTTACTAAATAAAATAGTAGACTTCTCATGTTGTACAATACTACAATACTAGTTTTATGTACTTTTTCTTTCTTCCCCTTTTTATTTTGTTTTTAATTAAATATGTATAATGTATGTACTCTTATGTTAAATAAAATGCATAATTTGTGATCAAGCTAATGTTTCTTTATATATATTGAAGATATGGATCATTCAAATGATAAAGAGCTATGTCTGATAGACAGCGCCACAACGCACACCATTTTGAGAAATAAAATATATTTTTCTCAAATGACTTTAGTTGAAGCTAAAGTCAATACAATATCAGGTGTTGCGAAACTCATTGAAGGCTCTGGGAAAGCATATGCATGCTCCCTAACGGGACAAAAATTATTATAAATGACGCTCTATACTCCACCAAATCGCGGAGAAATTTATTAAGCTTTAAAGATATGCGTCAAAATGGTTATCACATAGAAACCATGAATGAAAATCAAAAGGAATATCTTTGTCTTACGATAACTAAATCTGGCACTAAATATATTTGTGAAAAAATGTCAGCATATTCCTTAGGACTATATTTCACATATATTAGTCCATTCGAAATAAATTTGGTTTCTAACACAAAGTTAGATGATCAGAAAACATTCATGTTGTGGCATGACCGTTTAGGTCACTCAGGCCAAGTAATGATGCATAAAATCATTAAGACTTCACTTGGACACCCATTAAAGAATATCAGGGTTCCATTATCAAGTGATTTTCCTTGTAAGGCCTGTTCTCTTGGCAAAATGATCATCAAGCCTTCTATGAATAAAATTGCAACTGAATCACCTGCATTTTTAGAAAGGATTCAAGGAGATATTTGTGGGCCGATAGCCCCACCATGTGGACCATTTCGATATTTTATGGTGTTGATTGATGCTTCAACACGTTGGTCACATGTTAGTCTTTTATCGACTAGAAATTTAGCATTTGCTAAACTTCTCGCTCAAATTATACGATTAAGAGCTCATTTTCCGGATCATTCTATAAAGAGAATCCGACTTGACAATGCAGGAGAATTTACATCCCAGACATTTAACGATTATTGTATGTCAATCGGGATTGATGTGGAGCATCCTGTTGCTCATGTCCATACACAAAATGGTCTTGCTGAATCTTTGATTAAACGATTACAATTAATCGCCAGACCATTATTAATGAAGTGTAATTTACCCTCATCAGCTTGGGGACATGCTATTTTAAATGCAGCAAATTTAATTCGGCTTAGACCGAGTGCATATCATGAATATTCCCCAATGCAATTAGTTAATGGACACGAGTCAAACTTAGCACACATTAAAATATTTGGTTGTGTTGTTTATGTTCCAATTGCTCCACCTCATCGTACAAAAACGGGTCCTCAAAGAAGGTTGTGAATTTATGTTGGATTTGAATCTCCCTCAATAATCAAATATCTTGAACCGATGACTGGTGACTTATTCACCGCACGGTTCGCTGACTGTCATTTCAATGAGACAGTATTCCCAACCTTAGGGGGAGAAAATACTAAATTAGACCCAAGTACGAAAGAGATTACATGGAATGCAACATGATTGTCACATATTGACTCAAGATCAAATATATGTGAGCAAGAGGTGCATAAGATAATTCATTTACAAAATGTTGCAAATCAGTTGCCTGATGCATTCAC